AAAAGATGCCTAATAGTAAGTTTCACATGAAAAAGGTATTTTTCTGCCAGCTATTGTATTTCCAAAAAAGTTTCTAGTTCACTCCTGTCACACATAGCTACCATAATAGGTCAAGACATGACAATATGTACTCGCAACCAGTCTATTCGAGCCAATAGGAACTGTAATAGAATGTAGGAGAGGTTAGGTTTGGGTATGCGTAATATCCTGGTATTGGGACTGTCTCTCTGGAGGGAGACCAAAAATAAAGACACTTCATCTATGGTTCTACTTTTGAAGGTTGCTTACAGAAAGTTGTGCACTATGTAATACTTTGGTATACATTTACAGCAAAATGTAATGGGATTATAATAAACAAAGGGGAAAACTACTCTCACTAATATGTGGACTAATCTGCATAGGTAAAACATTTTTCAAAAATTAAGAAAATAGGTTGTGACAAATACCACACAAAGATTAAGTCCAAGGCAATCAGGGGGGGGGGGGTCCCTGATAGGAAAATACTGTGATCAGATAGAGGTCTGGATGCAAAGCTCCCAGGTTAGGAAGATTTTTGGTTTCATATGGTGATGTTTGTGGATTTCCCAGGAATAGACCAATTCGGTAAAGCACAGCAACTGCACCTAACAATGTGCACTTGGTGAAAATAAACCCTCATCCATTCAAAAACTCACTGTGCATGTTTATGGACTCGCTGTGTTTATCCAAGTCTTTTTTTGTGTGTGTGAGAAAATGCCGACGAGTTGTGTAGTCGTTGGTTGATGATACCATCAACCAACGACTAACCATTCATAAATTCCCAGATCTCAAGAAGAAACCCAAAAAATGGAGGTGAGGGGTTCAAGATATGAAACACAAACGTTGATGGGAGCACTTCGGCACGTGGCGGAAAATATGTTTACATCTCCTCAGAACATTTTACAGAAAGTAAGAGTCTAATTGTTGTAAACATTTCCCACCATGCGTCCAAGAGCTCCTATCAGTGTTTATGCGTTTCATGGCCTAAACCCATCACTTCCATTTTTTGGGTTTCCTCTCACTATCTGGAAATTACTGAAAAGTTAGACCTTTTTTTCTCATTGTATTGTGGTTTGATCAACTAATGGCTACACAACTCCTCAGTTTTTTCACACAAAAAATTTAAATAATTGGATGAGCACTGTAAATCCTTAAGCACACAAATGAGATTTTGAACGAACAAGGTGTTTTTACCAAAATGCAGGTTGCTAGGTGAGGTTGCTATACGTCACCAAAACAGTCACAAAAATCGGTAATCAGAATCAGTAATTCAATGTTAGGCCACTTTAAGGATCCTAAATGCAAGATTAGCTTCTTTTAGCTTCCGAGCTTCTAGTTTTGCTTCGGTATAAGTTTATGAGAGTGACACGCACAGATAGAGGGAAATAGAGTAGGATAGTACATAGTTTAACGTCGCCAATGTGACGCTAGATCAGAGCTAATGCTCTGATTTTGTCGCTTGTGGCTGGTGGCGGGCAGGCCAGACTGGCCCGGAAACTATTATTTTCAGTTTGAAAATGTACCGTCACTAGTGGTAACATATCTAAGTATTCATGTATTTTTGCTCACGATAATAACAAAACTTCTCAGTGCTCTATGTGAGGTTTCTGTGAGAGAGATGTTTGTTTTCACTAAGTGGATTTTGTCATACCAAATCCCTCTATGGCTAAGGAAATGGGACTTTTATCTCAGACAGGGGCAGCAATCACATTGTAAATATGGTATAAGTTACAGACACCGACACGCATAGATAGAGGGAAATGGGGACAGCCATCTTATAGAGTGGAAGAAATAGAGTGGGACAAAACATAGTTTAAGCTGCAGCGGCCTCATATTTGCCGCTAAATGATGAAAAGTCCATCAGCTTGTTTACCTTGTGAAGAAAAAAACAACACTGAATGCTGAACACATTACTGCAATGCCCAAAGTAGTGCATGTGGTACTACACACACGTCAAAACAATATTTGACTAATTATCAGTGTATGCTGTTACATATTTATGCTCTTAAACTCTTTTATTAATGTTATTATACTTCCTTTACGTGTTTCAAGATTGATTTATAGCCTTCTTTAGATTTGTGCGCCTTGTGCATTTCACACTTCCTTTCGCCTGCCGCCAGCTTGACAGCTACCGGTCCGCTCATTTTGAGGTGTAACGCCAGTAAGAAATGTTGCGTTTCCAGTGCTGTGTTGATTCTGGGTTATTCTTAAGACTATAGTGACAAAGAAGATAAAATATATTTCAGTAATGATCCCAATTTTATATCTATGGCCATCAAGAGCTCCAAATGTCATAAAAAGTTCTTAAAATCGTTTTATGGTATGAATGCAGCACTATCTTGCCGTACATACCGAGGTGAAGAGAATGTGTCCCAGAGGGTGTTGGGGAGGGGCAGGACACATTCTCTTCACCTCGCTATGTACAGCAAGATAAGAGCTGCATTCATAATAAACCAAATACCTTTATATCCGGAAACATCAAACTTTCATTGCTTTTTTGTACCATCTAGATTGCTTCAATTTTAATCACCTTATTCATCATTTGGAGCTCTTGATGGGCCCAGATATAAAACTGGGATGGTTACTAAAGTCTAAGGCCCATACTATTAAAACCTTTCGCCAGGGCTGGCGAAAGGTTTCGCCGGGCGATCCGGAATTTCGTACTATTAAAATCATGCCTGGCGAACGTTCGCCAGGGATGGTGAAAGATCATATTGGAACAGCCAGGCAAAGCAAAGGCGCGAGAGCTGTTTGAATACCATTTTCTTGCTTTCAAGTTATAAATTAGTAACATATTTGTGTATGATATGATGTAGGAATCACATTGAAATTCTAAAATATCTTAAAATCATAATTTATTATGAAATAACGTATATACGTATTTTTTTCAAGACCTTCGATGTTCCAGTCGAGAGCTCAAGACATCAGCTGTATTCCTACCCCCTACCCCTACCCCCCACCCCCGAGATGACTTATTTAGATTTCGGTTGTTGTTATTTTGGTTGTAAGGATAATGTTCTTTTCACAAACGTTACCAGAAGTGTTTTTATGGCAGCATGTTTACTTTTGGCTATAGAAACATAGCTGTAGTGCTCCACCGCCCTATAATGAGGCGTATCTAATGATACCCTTATAGGCCTACAGTTCAATATCTTATATCAGTTAGGAATAGTAAAATAGTAATTTTTAAATTCTTTTGTTAAAGTATAAACTTATATTTTGTATAAAAGTATAAGGTTGATATAGTGTAGTATAAAGTACTTTTAAAACCTTTCACCAATGCTGGCAAGCGGCAGAATCTGGAAAATCTAGCACTTCGGCGATTGAAAAAAACGCAAGAAAAAGCAAAAGGTTTTAAAAGTACGGGACATAAAGTTAACCTTGTTATAGTATAAAGTGTAGTATAGCATAAAGTATAAAGTTAATTTTGTTATAGTAAAAAGATATTTTCAACTTTTTTGTTATAGCATAAAGTTTAATTTTTACTCCTTTGTTATAGTATAAAGTGAGACTATTGCGGAAACAACATTTTCGTCTTCTCTCGAGGTTAATAATAAGTTTAGGTTATGTTATGTGCACTGCAGATGTAAACAAATTTGCGCTAGATTTAGCGGGAATGCAAGATGTTAGCGCCTGGCGATCCCTTCACCCACCCTGGCGAACGTTGGGTTTAAAAGTAAGGCCTCCCTCACTCAGAGGTTCGCCTGGCGTAGCTTCGCCAGGCGAACGCCAGCACTGGCAAAGGTTTTAAAAGTACAGGCCTAATTCTTCTTCGATGCCACTGTAAAAGTCTTTAAAATAACCCTGAATCAACACAATACTAGAAACGCAACATTTCTCACCAGCGTCTTACCTTGAAATGAGCTCGCCGTGAGCAGTCAATCAAGCAGGAGCAAGAAAATGTGAAACACCCAATGCGCACAATTCTATATAAGGATATAGACAAATATTAAAATATGCAAATGAAGTATATAACATTAATAAAAGACTTTAAAGACATAAATGTGTGACAGCAGACACTGATAATTAGCCAAAGAAACGCATAATAATACACGGACTAGTTCAGACATCGCAGTAATGGGTAAAACGGTCCGTGTTTTGTTATTCTTGGCACATGCGAGTGTAGACAGACCGTATACACTTATCTGCTCATGCGCCATGATACATCATGTGAGTGGTACCCAAAATATAAAGACCACATGTATACACCGTACATTGCAGGATATTACATTGAAATTCTTACAGATAACATTGTTAATGTATTAATGTATGGGAGTATATATGAATCTATTTTTATGCTGGTGTCGCATAAATATAGATTGCTGTAGGCCTATAACAAGGTAAAACAAATATGACGCAAGAAATTGAGAATGTTTTATATCCTGATTTATTCCTGTACAGTTATGCTCATTCACTGCGCAATAACATCATATCCCTAATAAAATTGTGTCCTTAATTCATCTTCCAAATAATGGCATTGCCCTCTACTGTGCTTATTTTATTTATTCTTGCTAACACTATGAGAAACATAAAAGCTAAATTACATGCAAATCAGGTAAATGTTCAGTTTGTGTATAATCAGTAATTATGAAATGTTGGAATATATAGTTAAGGTTAACTCTGTCTGCTCTTCTAAAAGGCCATGATGGTCCACTGCTTACAAAAGTTCGCTGGGTAGAGGTTGAAGACCGCGACGCGCGTAGATAGAGGAAAATGGACACCACCATCTTATAGAGCGGAAGAAATAGAGTAGGATAGAAGTAACCTTAAGATGCACAGGCATTATATTTACCGCTAAATGACGAAAATATAACGCGCGGCCGCCTTTCAAATTCAAAGTCGATGAGCTTATTTACCTTGCGAGGAAAAACACGACACTGACCCACGAACGCATTTTTGCGTTCGCGAACTAGTCCGTGTATCATTACGCGCTTGTCAAAACGATATTTGGCTAATTATCTGTGTCTGCTGGTACGCATTTATACCTTTAAAGTCTTTTAGTAATGTTATTATACTTCATTTGCATATTTTTATATTTATCTATACCCTCATATCGAATCCTGCGCATCGAGTGTTTCACACTTTCTTGCGCCAGCCACAGGTTGACAGCTCACCATACCGCTCATTTCCAGATTGAAAGCCGATGAGAAATGTTGCGTTTCCAGTGTTGTGTTGATTCTGGGTTCTTTTTAAGACCTTTACAGTGGCATAGAAGAATAATTAGACTTCAGTAACCATCCCATTTTTATATCTGAGCCCATCAAGAGCTCCAAAGGACGAAAAAGGTGATTAAAATCGAAGCAATACCAACAGTACAAAGAAACAAAAGTTTCACGTTTCCGGATATAAAGGAATTTGGTTTATTATTTTACGGTGTGAATGCAGCTCTGTCTTGCCGTAAATAACGTGGTGGAGAGAATGTGTCCTGGGGGGTGTTGGGGGGCTTGCCCCCCATCAACCCTCCCCTCGGGCAGTGCCCGAAGGGCACGCCTAGTCACGGCAATTTATATTGATATATTAGGTTGGTTTATTGGTCAATACGTTTTTGGGGGTTGGAATGTGTGAATTCCCGTAGAGTTTTACCGAAATGTGGGATGGGTTCCCGAAGTTTTTTATTTATTTTGCTTCAGTCCGTAAACTTTCAAAGATGGTGGTTACATCCGTAGAGTTTCATTGGCCGATTTTAAGCGCTTTTTGTGCTAGTTTTACGCATTTTTTAATCGTTATTCTTCTTATTTAAGCTTGTTTTACCCCATAATTTCCCTGATATACTTCATGCCCTCCCCTGCTAACGGGACTATCAAATCAAGATCGTCGATAGAGAAATGGTACTCAATCTCCTGAACGGTTCATTCGCAAAAGAAACAACGCCGAAAATCTATGAAATCATAGGATTTCATGCAGAAAAACATCATTTTTTTCAACTTAGTCTCTGCGAGGGTGCGTCGCGGTCTTCAACAATTACCATTCGCTGGAAACCGATACAGTTTATAATTGTCTGCCCTTACAACTCGACCATGATTATTGCATTACTAATATAGTTATTTGATAATGTTATCTAAGAATTTCAATGTAATATCCGGCACTATACAATGTATACGCGTGGTCTTTATATTGTGGGTACCACTCAGTGCAGTGCAGACGACGCATGATGTATTATGGCGCATGTGCCGATAAGTATATAGTCTGTCTACACTCGCATGTATTCCTGGCAAGGTAAACAAGTTGCTGGACTTAGAATTTGTGCAGAGACCATGTGCTGTATTTTCATCATTTAGTGGTGACTATAAGGTCGCTGCAGCTTAAACTATGTACTATCCAACTCTATTTTTTCCACTCTATAAGATGGCAGAGTCCATTTCCCTCTATCTACGCATGTCGGTGTCTTCAACTTATACCAAAAGAATAATAATTGGAAGATTGGATACTGAGAAATTACCATTTTTAACAGTAGTTTGCAATGGCGGCAGTTGAAGAAGAAGAATCCCATTTGTGTTATTCTCTACTTGATGGGAAGGTCATATTCTTCCCAGATTCTCATCTCTGCTTGTTGGGCGTTATTTCCAGTGCTAACACAACGATCACCCATTTGGTCTACTGTGGTCCGTACTGTACGAAACGCTGTAATATGGTGTAATTTGCACCAGAAACAACAACAAAAACATGTTCGTAACCTTATACCCATCGTGCACTTCTTTATCATTACATACCACCACTAACCCTTTAAAATAACCTTACCTTGCTGTCATTTCTCACAAACTGTATCCCATGTCCAGGATATACTTTCTTGGAGCAGAAGTAACACCTTTCTATCCGCATTTTGTCTGATTTTAGAATCCACGAGACGACGACATGTGTTCCGAGCGTGAGTGTTAGTCGCTTACTCTAACAGCACCGATGGCCTGACCGAGTGAAATGTGGGAAGTCATAGAAAATGATTAGGGGGCACGCAAGAATATTTTTTGTTTGGTTATAATGTATGTTTTCTTGTCAGTGTTCTCATGTTATTATTCTATCATCATTATCATTGTCATTGCTTTTTTGTATGTATAATGCTATCATTATCATCATCGTCATCAGTAGTAGTATAAGTATTAGTAGAAGCAGCAGTAGTAGTAGTAGAAGAAGCAGTAATAATAGAAGTAATAGTATCATTATTATTATTATCAGTAGTAGTAGTAGTAGTAGTAGACGTAGTAGTAGTAGTAGTAGTAGAAGTAATAGTAGTAGAAGTAGTAGTAGTAGTAGTAGTAGTAGTAGTAGTAGTAGTAGTAGTAGTAGTAGTAGTAGTAGTAGTAGTAGTAGTAGTAGTAGTGGTAAAAGTAGCAGTAGTAGACGTTTTAGTAGTAATGGCATTAGGAGTCGTAGCAGTAGGAGTCATTGTAGTAGTCGAAGAAGAAAAGGAAAAAATAAAAGTATTAGTAATTATAGTAGTATTAGTAATGGTAACAGGGGTGGTGGTAGTAGTAGTGGTAGTAGTAGTAGTAGTAGTCGAAGAAGCCAAAAAAATATATAAGTATTAGCAATGATAATAGCAATAGTAATAGCAGCAGTGGTAGTAACAGCTGTAGTAGTAGCAGCAGTAGTAGTAGTAGCAGAAGAAGTGTTATTAGTAATGTCAGTAGCAGCAGTAGCAGTCATTTTGTCAGTCTAAGAAGCAGAAAAAAAAATAGAAGTATCAGTAGTAGTTATGATAGTAAAATGATATTAGTAAAAATAATAACAAAAATAACGATGATAACAAGAACGACAACGACAATAATAATGATATTGAAAATCGCAATAATAATAACGTTAACAATAATACTAATAGTGATCATAAGGATAACAGGAATAACAATGAGAATGATTGCAATAACATTGATGATGATCATTACACAAACAATAATAATGATAACATCAATAATGGCATGATAATAGCACTACGACTCATGATGATGATGATGGTAGTGATAATAACGAAAGTAGTAAATGGCGATATAATGATCATAGAATGATGATAGATCAGTCATAATAACACCATGAAACATTGGCAAAAGCATGTTAATGGCATTAGTATCATTGCCACTGTACTCTTGTAAGGATTCCAGAGCTATCATCACACCATAGGATTCTATTTCACAAGAAGCAGTGAATGTATAGGAACTATATAAGCGGTAGAATGATACGCTGTCAACTGCCATCGTTACTACCACGACCCTCCATAACAGGCGCTATTACCCATATTACAGCCGAAGTGCATTGACTTATTAGCGCCTCTATTTCGGGCCATTAGAGAGAGACATTTGACTTCCCAGGAATTCACTGGTGCCGTTGCTCGTTGTTGCCATGTCTGAAAGATACATACGTGCATCCACACTCTCTCACACACAAACGTATACATATGTGCACACACACACACACACACACACACGTGTGTACGTGTGTGTGTGTGTGTTTTATATATATATATATATATATATATATATATATATATATCTATGTATATACACACACACACACACACACACACACACACACACACACACACACACACATATATGTACACATACACACACACACACACACAGCACACACAATCACACACACACGACACACACATCACACACACCACAAAACACACACACATATATTTATATAATATATATAATAAAATAATTATACCTAATATATATACTATTATATTATATATATATATACATAGATATATAATGCATAGATATATATAGGGTTCCAGAAAAATTTTTCTGGTGGGTCACGGGCACGGGGGGAATCTGGGGGGGGGCCCAAAGTAACAAAAGAAGGCTGTCCACTTCATATTTATATTGTTTTATGTCTTCGTCTTGCTTTCCTTGGCCACGTTAAATCTGATGTGTAGATTCAGCAAGTGTGACGTCGGAAAGACCTTTGCGCAATGATTGAGATTACGACGAGGCATGACAATTGAGGGGCAGCAAGGGTCAAGGTTGAAGTATAAGTGTGCTTATAGACCTTGCACAGGGTGGCCAATCATTGTGTCCCCGACCGACCACCATGGATGCTAATGTATGTATATATTTATATAAGTACATAGATATAGATAGAGATATGTAGATATGTGTGTGTGTGTGTGTAGTGTAGAAGTGTGTGTGTGTGTGTGTGTGTGTTGTGTGTGTGTGTGTGTGTGTGTGTGTGTGTGTGTGTGTGTGTGGTGTGTCGTGTGCGTATGTGTGTGTGTGTGTGTGTGTGTGTGTGTGGGGTGTGTGTGTGTGTGTGTGTGGTGTGTGTGTGTGTGTGTGTGTGTGTGTGTGTGGTGTAGTGTGTGTGTGTTGTTGTGTGTGTGTGTGTGTGTGTGTGTCTGTGTGCGTATGTGTGTGTGTGTGTGTGTGTGTGTGTGTGTGTGTGTGTGTGTGTGTGTTGTGTGTGTGTGTGTGTGTGTGTGTGTGTGTGTGTGTAAACAGTAAAACATTAGTATAATATTTTACTTATGTATTTGTCTGTATGCATAGCGAGGAGGCTATATCTTAAAGTAGATACTACAAACCCCCAACCCCCCATTTCCCATACTACATAACTGCCTTCCAAAAGCCCCAGATAAGATAACCAAGATATAACGTAGATGCCTTCCCGGACCGGCACGATTTCCGAGCGTACGAGAGTTGGGTACGAGAGCACGTGTGCGTTTGTTATGGTGCAGAGTGAAGGGATCGGGAGAGCGAAGGGGCAGTGCCATTGAAAGGGAGCCTCCTACAATGGCTCAGAAGGAGGCCGAGGAGGAGATTTTCATCAAATATGAGCCAGACGTGGATGGCATGGGGAGCCAAGAGGCCAGGGATCACGGGGAGTTAAAGTATAAGCCTTTCCTCCCCGTGTTTGTAGTGGCGACGGGGGAGGAGGTGGAGGACGAGGAGCAGGACATCCCGGAGGAGGCGTCCTGGCACCGTCAACGCCCCCTTCAGGAGGATGCTGGGCAGACACGCGTCCTGCAGGATGAGAATGCTGGGTGAGGAAAAATGGGAAGGCGGGGCAAGGAGGGAAAATGTGTATTTTTTTTATTAGATTGTGTGGTTTTGTATAGAATCGTTCGGATGTGTTCTTTTGTGTGACTATTTTGTCTTCTTGAAATGGTATGTGATTGTGTCCAAATTAGAACAAGATTAATTCCTTAATCTGGCAGTTATCTTTATGGCCTTATGCTTGTGTTAGTGTCGTGCTGATTCTAGGGTTTTGCTAGTGTTATCAAAACAAGGAAAAAAGTGACAAGTATCTCAAGTATTGGGTTAAGCAGGAAATTCTCAGTATTACATCAAGTGCCAGGTAAGTCATAGTATTTGTGTTGTTTTATAACAATGGTTATAGTACTAGCATATATGTATATTTATTTATTCATTTAGGAAGGAGGAACTATTTTGAAGTGAAAGCAGACATTCTAGTCTTTGTCACAGATGATAAGGTTTAAACCCCTTAATCCTTTCCTTCTTAGCCATCTTTTTATCTGTTACATATTTTTTATAAGCTTGAAGAATAATTACCTCAAGTAATCCTAGCATTTGATACCACAGTGATCATCTGCTTTAAATCCTTTTCTGTGCAAATAAAATAGTTAAACTGATAGTAGATAGTTTATGTCCCCAGCACCAATGAGTTAACATGTAGATACTCTTCAAACAGTATTTGTTGTTATGTAGAAAACACAGTTACAGGCAGTGACTAATTAAAAAGAAGAAAAAATTAGTAAAAAAATTATATATTGTTTAATCTATTTTCTTCCTAATGGGCTACTATGTTCAGTTTATGATATACAGAGGTCTGTGTGTCTGTTAAGTAGTTACAAAGACCATTTAGTGTCAGCGATTTTATGAAAAACTTATTTTAGAACATTTTTTTCTCTCTTTGTAGGTACACTTGGCAGTGAAGTAATGGATATCACTGTGATATTCATATTCATTGTTTCATTTACCATCATCTTTATAGGGAAGAAATTAGCCAAAAATATGCAGCTAATATTGGTTTTGTGAGTGTAATAGCTTTGCAGAGACGTTCCTTATTTCTCTCTTATATTTTAACATTTGATATTACAAGCAATTTTTATTGTTTTTTGTTGTTGTTGTTGTTGTTGTTATTATTATTATTATTATTATTATTATTATTATTATTATTATTATTATTATTATTATTATTATTATTATTATTATTATTATTATTATTATTATTATTATTATTATTATTATATTATTATTATTATTATTATTATTATTATATTATTATTATTATTATTGTTGTTATCCTTATTATAGCTATTATTATTATGATAATTATTATCCTTATTATAGGTATTATTATTATGATAATTATTATCATTATCATCATTATTGTTATTGTTATTATTATTGTTGTTATTATTATTATTATTGTTGTTATTATTATTTATTATATTAGTATTATTATTTTTTTATTTTTATCATTGTAATCACTATTGTTATAATCATTTTTGCTATTGGTATTTTTATTATTGGTATCATCATCATCATCATCATCATCATCATCATAGATTATTATTATTATTATTATTATTATTATTATTATTATTATTATTATTATTATTATTATTATTATTATTGTTAATACCAGTGTCTTCATCATCATCATCATCATAATTACCATTGTCATCATCATCGTTATCAAATTATCACCAGTATCTTCATTAATGTCATCATCATTGTCATTACCATTAGAATTATTTAATCATTGTTATCATTATCATTATCATCATCATTGTCATCATCCTCATTATCCTCATTATTATTATCATTATCACAATGATGATAGTAGTAATAATGATAATAGTAATTATTATCATTATTATTAGTAGTATCATTATGATTATTGTTCTTATTATTATTATGTTTATTTTTATTATAATCATTATTACTAGTGTTATTGTTATTATTATGATTATCATTATTACTGTTATTCTTGTAATGATTATTATGGTCATTGGGATTATTATTATTACGGTTATTATTTTTGTAATTGTTGTTGTCAGTATTATCATATTCATCATCATCATTAATAGTGTCAGGAATATCATCATCATTGTTATTACCAGTACTATCATTATCATCATTATCATTATTGTTATTGCTATTATTATTGTTGTTATTATTATTATTATAACATTCATCATCATCATCATCATCATCATATCATTATTATTTTTTTTTATTATTATTAATGATAATGATAATAATGATGATGATGAATTATTATCATTATCATTATCATTATCATTATTGTATTATTATTATTAGTGCCTTTTTATTGTTAATATTATTACCTTATTGTTATTATCATTATTATTAATTATTTTTTTTAGACCTCATTTTTGTTGTTATTATTGTTATTGTTACTGTTATCATTATCATTGTTGTTATTGTTATTTACTATTTTGTGTATTATTATTTCTGACATTGTTATTATTTTTATTGTTATTAATGATATCA